TATAAGAAATGAAACAAAAGTAGTATGTAGTAAAATATTGAATTTTTTAATTGTAATTTTTAACTTTCTGTGTGGAACAGATTAGCAAGAAGCTAAGGTCTCTTCAACCCAGTCAGCTATGATCGGGTACTCAACAAATGACATTATCTTTTCCTGATTAATTCACTATGTTTTTGTCAAAACGCGTGTCTTATTATTGACCTAAAAACTATGAAATCTATTTTCGTTGTATATTGTATTGACTATAATATTGTAAACATGCAAAGAAGCTATTTCACAACGATACACTCAAGTCTTATTTCTCCATAATGTCTTCTCGTAAACTTGATTCGAAACATTTAGGGTCATGATCAAGAAGCTTATATGAATCGAGTGGGCAGTTATTTCAGTCAATATGTATTCATTTCAGTGGTACCGATACAGATACTGTAATCATCTTGTCATAATTAATTCACTATGTTTTTGTTACAAAGTGTCGTATTAATGCCTAAAAACAATGGAATCTATTTTTATACACGGTTTTCACCATAGCATTGTACAGATGCAAAGAAGTTATTTCAAACGGCTATCAAAATAATACACTCAGGTCTTGCGACCGCGACTGGTCATTTCTTCGTAATATCTTCTCCTGAATTTATATTGTAACAATTATGATCATGATCAGGAAGCTTATTTTAATCAAGTGGGCGATGATTTAAATCAATATTTATTTCTTTCAGTATTACCGATACAGACACTTTGATTAAACAATTCAGGCTTAATTCTTGTTTTAACAAAGTGTCAACAGTTTATAATTTTTGTCTAAATTCTTCATACATAAAATGAACTTGAAGGTATACGAACATTTACTATCAATTATATGATAGTTTCTGTCTACGGACGAATAGTTCTTTGTAAGATTTCAAAATATAAGCACGGCATTTCTTGGACATAAAGGAACATGCAAGCATTTTTCCATCATATCGATAGTTTTTGAAGTAAAACATTGCTGTTTGTGTGATTTCCTAAGACACTTCAGGGAAGTTTTCAATAACCTCTGCCGAATTGATCCTATACTCATTTGTGTATCCGTCCGTCTTCAATGATACACATTCGCACATCACGTGCACATCATTTAAGTAAATAAAATTAAAAATGTCACAACATACCAATAGAAAGAAATCTCCACAACCTGACTTTCCAATATGTTTTACAAGAACACGTTGATTATCCAACTGACAATTTTCTTCTCAGGATATGACAAGAATATTGTCAATACATATCTGTATTACTTGCTTGATAATTTTTATGCCTAATTATTCTCATGGTGTGACCAAAGTCCCGTCCATTTAAGGTGTAGGATTTCTAACAAATGGGGAAAAATACTTTATAAAATATGATAAAACAGCAATACGATATGATGACCTGACGCAACAGATCGATGATATGCAACATCAATTACAGTCTATTAGCTTTCTAGTTCTTGTTCAGACGCCAAAGACTAAACACAAAACAACGCAGCCACGTGCAGAAGAAGCATGAACTCATCAAACAATTGAATATCCACATGTTCAGGTTGAAAAGAAAAAAGATGTAAAGCCAATGTTGACACAATTATATTTTTAGAAAAGACGAACATTGAAAAAAATTCAATACTTCGCTAAATAAAACATAAAAGTAAAGGAAGTTACAACAGAATCAATGCTATGTGTTTCATCCGATATAGATTACAAAAGTCCATGTTATTCGACATGAATACTTTTGCTGTGAGAAATAGAAAGTTAGGTTGTTTTTTTTTTCGAGCTGTAAAGGACAGGGTGGGTTAAAATGAAAATATGAATCACTTTTCAGATTTATGTTCTGCAAGAAACGCTTGTAAGGATAAAATTTATATATCAATAGTATGCAGAAGTAACTCAATTTTCATGTTACTCGCATCTCATTTACAAATAAATGCGCTGCAAAGGTAGCTCGTGTTTTCATTCTAAGCAGCGTTTCACGTACAGTTATTAACTGCAATGGTGATTTATAGTTTTATTCTAATCTCTTTCATTTAAAGGTCATTAATATACAAAGGAAATGCATAGTTTCATTCTAATCAGTCTCATTTATAGGTCATTAATATATAAATGAGATGCATATTTTCATTCTAATTACCGTCTCGTGTAGAGCTAATTAATCTGCAGAGGTGATTGTGTTTCGATTCAAACTCGAGTCTCAATTGCAGATAATTATTCGTTCATGTTTTCATTCAAACCAGCATCTCATATCCAGATAATTAAGCTGCAAAGGTGATTCATGTTTTCGTTCTAACGTGCGTCTCATTTATGGATTAGAAGATTACTGATATGTAAATGAGACGCGTGTTAGAATGAATACATGAATCACTTTTGGAATAAAGTCACGGGTTGTTATAACAGATTATTGACCTTGGATACCATTAAAACATGAATTAACTTTTTAGATTAGTGATCTTGTTACTTTCCTTGGATTACTTCCTGGATAGAATTTATACAATGGAGTATGAAGAAATTGGTGTTTACAGGACAGAAAAATGTTCTGAAAGAATTATCAACGGTGGATTCATCATCATCGTCGTCGTCATCATCATCATCGTCATCATCATCATTATCATCATCAACAACAACAACAACAACAACAATAAGAAGAAGAAGATCAACAACACCACATACGTTACATTTCAAGTACGAATACTCACAAGATCGGTATTCTCTGCTTTGTTCTTCGTTTGTTTTATTTAGATAAATAACGTCATATCGAATTATGAAGAAGAAAATAGTCCTTACCATGACCTTGTGAATGTTTTTGCCTATTAGATGTAAATTGATAAGTTGTGCCTTGATTCAGCTGGGAAGAAATCATAGTTACAGTGTTCTAAAACTATAAATATCTTACAATGGATCGTCTTGCAGTAAATGTCATATTAATCGATACATTGAAAGGTAACAAGTCTTGCATATCTTTCCTTATTAAATATGCCCTTTTACCCCCTCTAGAGTCAAATCAAAGGTGAATTTCCAATTTACGTCCAACGTACTGTTCTTTGCAACACGAAGAAAAGCACATATATGTTCTCAAGGTGAGCATTGATAGCAGGCAACATAAAATAATATATTTTCGTTACATATATAGGCGTATCATCTACGTCTAAATTAATAACATTATTTCCTATCAATCTGGCTGCTTGTATGTATGTATGTATGTATGTATGTATGTATGTATGTATGTATGTATGTATGTATGTATGTATGTATGTATGTATGTATGTATGTATGTATGTATGTATGTATGTATGTATGTATGTATGTATGTATGTATGTATGTATGTATGTATGTATATCTACATATCCGTCTATCTATATGTAAGTGTGTGTATGAATATTTAGCATCGTAAAGATATTCAGAAAATAGTTACAGGAAGGACTTAATAATAATCTAATTACATTTGTGTAGCGACATCACAAATCCTGAAACCTTTAATGGGTAATGAAAAACACAGCATCATTTATAAGCAAGTGGAATGGATGCAAATATGCACTCCGATTTTATTTCTCCAAAGATTTGAACATTCGGAATCTGTCTAGAAAGGGGGAAAGTATCCAAATGAGAGTTGTGCAGCAGGCAGACCAACAAGTCAAAGGTTTGTACTATTACGATGGAATCCAATTTATTCCAGGATTAATTATTTCTCTGATCAGGGTACAATGAGACCTTTGGGAAAGGAATTAGAAAGCAAACACGTGTTGAATAATTTGGACACAAATTGCTTGTTTATTTACTATTTCTCTATCAGCATTAACTAGACCAAAATTTAACTAATTGAAAGCAGGACTGGAGTTAAAATTCATTATTATCTTCCATCAACATTATTGCCAGCTTCTGAATATGTCAGCCTGAATTATCGTATAAAGGAAAATTAGAGCTTTTGTGGATTTTTGTGTCCATTAAATAATTCCAGGAACGTGAAAAGGAATTCAGTAATCGATTTTGTCTGCTAATGGTTAACAAAACCTTGGATTGCCTGGTGCTCAGTAATAATATAGTACTTCATCTTATGTCCATCTTGCAGTGAATATTTTTATGTTCAATAAACGTCAAGAGTGACTAAAAATATGTTCTACTGCCCCAAACACATGTACGTTCTCGTCATTTTGTAACAGACTACAAAATAAACAATTTGCAATTATGTTGAAAATGAATTTTTGCAGAGTAGTTGCTCAACAAGGAAGACACTACTAATATCAAAGAAAAACAAAAAAGACGTTTATGTTTAATGTTGCTTGCATGAAAATGGTCTTGCGATGCTTGTTCATTAATATATAAGTACACGATTTCAGGTACTTTTCAGTGAACGTATCACAGTGTAAGGAATATTTCGGGTCTTTTCTTGGAATTCATTGGATGGGACCTCGAGATCCCACTTTTCAAATATAAATATTAATGGATACAATTTCGGAGTAAACGTGCAGCTAATAAAATATTTGATGAATCCTTACTGCCGATCCCTCCTAATTCTGATAATACTATTTTCTTTCCTTCATGATTACAAAATTATCTAAAACAAACTTTGATTCCTTTGTTATATTTAACGTCTAGAAGTTGTATGCAGCATTGAAAACAAGAGATTTACACTGATAGGATTCAGGTCAATGACTTTTCACACTAAACAGAAAACATTACATACGAAGATGTGTTCTCTAATACTATAGTGGAGGAACAATTTAACAAACGCTATGCATAGAGTTTATGGAACTAGCATATGGATATACCAGATCAAAGCTTTAGAACACTCTACATATAGTATGTCCTTTAAACGGTGCTTTCACTGTTTTAATGAAAACATATATTGTTTTGTTTTCCCCAGATCAGAAACAAAGTGTGCTTTGTTGACGTCTTTTGAGCAAAGAGTGGTTTGCGATATTCTTTACGGCACATAGTTGTTTCTTCAGGTTATGTTTTGCCGAATCAAAGCGCATGCCCAGGCACTTGCCGGCTGGATCTGATTTGATATTTGGAATCGAACCAAAACCCTTCTCATCACTAGTCTGACGCCTTAACCGCTGAGCCATCGCTGCCTTTGAACAAATAAATGGACGGAAAATATTAAGATGGAAGATTTTGATGAGAGTCCACATTCCACTGAAGATATTCATTGGATATCTGCTCAACAAGCACATCTGATTTACGTGGGGATACCCACTGCAAAATGAATGAAGAAGAAAGACGTATCTAATGTGAGGAAAAATGAACTGTAAAATAGCTACATTTTTCTTTTCATCATAGAAATATTATAAACGTATTTTGACTGGTGCACCAAATTCTTTCAGCTGTGTTGTTGAAAACGAATCCGCCCTCTTGTTCTGTAAGGCTGGTATATATTTCGATATAAAAAATGACCATCAGTAACAGTGTAGTGGACATAAATGTCACGTTTGACAAAAATGAAACTTTTCTTATTCCTACGGAGACAACGTCAGATTTTTAAAAAAAATATTCAGATGCCTTACTTCCGTTGACGATCGTTTTCGGAGCTATGGCGGTAATCAGACTATTCGGTAACGTCGCAGTGATATTAATATATAGAAAGAGCAAAAAAGTTTAAGAATAAACACTTCTGTTGTTATTCCATCAGAAAATGTGAAACACAGAAACTATTTCTCTTTCGAGGAAAATATACTCTGTAAAGCGAATTGTTTTGTAAATATATTTTCTGCTGTTTCTGCAATAAGTTGCCTCCTTGTACTTGGGTTGGATAGATACATAAATGTTTACTACCCAGTTTTAACGTTTGAAAACTGAATGATAGACTCTGTATGTTCCTGTTTACCCTCGTTTTTCTTTTAGGATTAATAATTTCCTTTTAATCCGTTGCCATTCTCATTAGTAAACTCTCCATTTATCCCCAAATAAAGGGTAATAACAATAATTATATGGGTATTGAAAAGTGTGTCAGTTTAAAGGTTGCCCCCCACTGTGAGGTTTTGGTTGTAAGGGATTGGGGTGGGGTGCTTCCAATATTTATTTAAATTATTGTGGAAGTCATACCCAGGCTCGATTTTGGTTTGGAAGTTGATTTAGTCAAAGTTAGATTACAACTACAAGCTCATAGCCAGCAGTGCCTACGGTAAAATGATTAAAGATACAAAAAAGGGTGAAGTTCAATAATAACAATTAAATAACAATTAAATGGTCAGTAATTGGACTTTCTAAAATACATTTCTTCCGCTCGACCCTTTACTAGCCTATTGCGTTTATTTGATAAGTAGTGTGAGAGATTTACACCTGTCATTGTGTTCTTCTCATCTGTGTATTCCTCTCTGTCTCCTAATTTTATCTCGTGCTACCTGACTCCCTCCAAGTTCCTATTCCTCCAACTCCTCCTATATTTCTTCCTCCAGCCCACTTTTCTCCTCCTCCCCTTCTATCCCTCTTACTATGTCGACTACACGTTGTCGACTCCGACTGCAGTGTCATTCTCACTTACGTCTCCTTCTTAGAGACTCGGAACTACGAAACTTGCACCGGAGGTTCTGTCCCCTGAAAAGCTTTCTGTAAAAATACAAGGATGGTATAATATTTTCCTCAGCGCTCACATCTCACACTACACCCAGTCTATCATCAGATACTGGCTATTAATTCCACCGGTCACGCATTCATTCACACCGAAATACGCATACATTCTTGTATGGTAAAACACAACATAATAAACACATCATAATAAAAGCACGGTATCAACTACTCGTACACATACAACAATAAAATGATTTACATCAGTACATATTCATAATCCAATTACACAAACCAATACACAACAAACAGGCGCATATCTTTACATCACAATTCATACCAAATATACACATATTCAAATAACCATGCTCTGATATATTCACAATCTATTGTAACTAATCTTACATCCTCCAATCATTTTCTAAACTCCAATTCAAACATACGTAAACTCTAACATAAGGCATTACTAAAGGTACTGGTTACCACGAAGTAAACCTACCAGCGAATTACAATATTAATTCTGGCGAGCTAACAATCTGAATAATTATCTATGTAAACTCAAATTCATGTCTAAAATATGCATATAAATGAAACACTACAAGTCAATTTGACGCACTAAAACAATTCCAGTAATTAAGTATACATACTACAAATAATTACAACTATGATGCCGTAATGTTTTTGCAAAAATCGAGCAATTAACATACTGACCTTTTCGAAACTTTTCACGTCAAATTACGAGTGACTTTCTCGGTGTATCCTTTCACCTAAAACCGCTAGGTTTAGTGATAATTTTCTGCGTGTATTTTCTCCCCTATAATTTCGATCTATGATTTAATCCCACCCTTTACCTTAATTCTGATTGGATATCGCAGTGGACTGTCCCAATCAAAATTAGCGAACAACATCTTCTTGCTTGCCTGTCTACGTTTACACTGCGGGCTTTCTTTTTGATCTCTGAACCAATGTTTAATGCCTGGGTGTGAGGACTACGAGCCTTTTACTAGCGGCTATTCTACAGTCTAAGTGGCTGGTAACTTGCACAAGGATTAACACTCACCTGCAGTGTTGTTTACACATCAAATGCGATAATTAATATCCAAGTTTATATATTTAGAGGTAACTTGAACTAAACAATCGTGACTGTCAGTTTTACAGTTTAATGATTAGACTTTTTAAAAAAAATGACAGAAAACCAATCTGGCTGTAGCACTATTGTTGTTGTTATTGTTATTAGACTTTTTCAGCACACGATAGGCTATTCATGGCGGCGAAATGTAGCACTATAATCATGCAGATTTACTTTCACGGTTAATACAGTGTGAACTGCTACAATTAGCTAAATGTACACATGAACAGCTTAATTTGTTATTACCATGCTACATTTTATTTCTCAAAAAAACAAAATGTTATTTTAGCAAACGAACTGGCATGGATAAATTTTGTCAAGGAAAACGTACGACTTTTTACTTATACCAGGTCATAATGGCTGAAAATATTGTAATTCCCTACAATTTATCATTTGTTGAAAGAAAAAAAAAACAGAAAAAAATCCACACATTTTTGTTGAGGTTTAAGAAGTCTACGGCATCGTTTCAGTTTATAACAATGAAAGACTCGGACCGTGGTTGAATCGGATCATGCTACATTTCTGATTTGGATCATACCATATATTATTAAATTTCGTCGTAAATTTAAACGTAGCAAATACTATTGTTTCAAATGTGGTATCTGTCATTATTATCAGATACGTTGAGCAGTTGAAAACTGCATTTAAGGAAACAAAAGTATAATGGCGCTTCTCCGGATGAATAACGAAATATTGAAATACTGTTTATCTTACATTACCAATTTAGTAATGAGATATTTTTAAAGCAGCCCATTCACCTTTTATAATGATGAAATAGTTCACTTTATCTTACTGAGAAATAAATAGTACAGGTACTAACACTGGTTTCGATAAGTTAGTGCTTTTATTAGATTTTTGTAGAATTTATCTATGTCTTGTATTCTGTGCAATGTACGAATAGTAATAAATAAACTTATATTTTAAAAAAATGATTTAATTCAACACAATGTCATATGTTATTGTTATAGGTCCGTATTCTCCTAATCTTGTGTGTGGACTTAATATTAATTATATTTTTATATTTTAAAAAATAATAATAGCATACGAAAATATTAATTTTATTTCTTTAGAAACATATTTTAACAACTTTTGTATTATCTGAATTCATTCTGTATAATTGAATGCTGAATATAGTACTAAATCAAACCGGGAATTACTATAAAGGAAATTAATAAGCAATTAAAATGATGGTGTAATCTCTGTTGAAGGATGAAGTATATTTCTCTAATCTTTGCCTAATATATAATTTCACGGGCTCATAATATATCATTTAATTACATGCAGATTACTGATTCTGAATTGAACGATGCCGCTATTAATTTAGCCGGTTTTAATGCCGTCTCTTTAACATATAGTAATGATTAATACGCCCTTATTTTATTTGCAAACAATAATACTATAGTATTGAAAAAATCTGACCATTGTTATGAAGCATGTTCTCAAATGATGTAATGGAAAGAAAGTGAAAACAACATCTTTAAGTAAAATTAACAAATAATTTATTTCTCTACAACACAAAGTGTGAAAGTTCAAGAGGCACTTACATTATTTTGAATTAAATTCCAAAAAATTATATATATTCTATCATAAGAAAATATATGGCGAATATTCCCAAATAATTCCAGTAGTCTTGAATATCCTGATGTAATACAGTGATGCAATCCGTATGTTTTGAATAGATTCACGATAATGCAAAAGAGGGTGTATAATTCCAAAAAATGAATGAGCACTTTAGCAATTCCAATCAAAATTTTAAATACATAATTTCTTTCGAACTATATCTGAAAAACAACTGTAAATTCTGATCAAAATTGATTCCCACAGACTGACTTAAAACAGGAACGAGTTGTTTGTTTATCAGACCGCTATTTATACATATTTTCACCAGAACCTAGATGTGAAATTTTCCCACGGAATACTTCAGTCTAGTTGTAAACAAAGCTGAACATAAAATGTTCGGAACTATTATTCAATTTGCGGAATCTAATACCATCACAGAACGCAAATTATAACACTAATTTAAAACAACCCTTTGAGATCTTTGGCAACATCAAAGTACTATTATTTTACGTATTTTGTTACTGTTATAAAATCTGTATTCAGAAGTAACGTATAATAAATATCAAAATTCTCAAAAGTTAGGATGAACATAAAATAAATTGGTTTACTGGTTTGAGGTTTTCCTCTCAAGATATATTACAAAGAGATTGCTACATAACGTTTTAATGCTGTGCCACTGACACAATATTTATTTAAGGAATATAACATGAAGAAAACACTGTTTTCTTGGGAAATCAATAAAAGCCATTGGTAAATTTATATAAACACTAGTCAGATTTTTTTAAAAGCTTCATGTTTTTCAAAAGCATTGGTTCAAAGAACACATTAATGTTTACTTCATTGTAAACCTTGAAGAGAGTTTTGGGTTTTAAAA